ATCGTCCATTAAAATCTAAAACGTCAGCCGCTTTCCGAACTGTCAAATTTACTCTTTCTGACTGCTAAATCCTTCTATCCTGTCAGCCATTCACTTGGCATTTTACGGCCACAAAATGAGCAATCCTAACCAAAACTACTTCATTCTCGCCGTTTTTAGAGAATCTTTGAAATTTGCAAATAAGGTCAGGCACATTACCCCAAATGCCATTCCTGTTGCGGCTCTATTTGGTCACACAGGAATGGATATTAACTGATTGTTCCACCGCCTCCAGTACCGTTCCAGGCCATCTTCTCCGCACGAAAACGCCAGAGTAACGGTTCTCAGTGCCGCACTCCGTTGTCGTCTGTAGAATATGTTTCCTTTCTAATTCCGCCTGTCAGACTTAATGACAGCAAATACACACTTTATTTTTTCTTGCCTGTGAATTACTCTGACTTGTCATCTTGCACTTTCATCTCCGATGATCCACGAATACTCCTGCATGCGAGTGATGGGATTGTTGGTGCCCTAGCAGAAATGATAGTGCTTCCCTGAATTGCAGTTAGAAGTCAGTTCAATCTGACTTTTAAATGTGATCATCTCCTGAGACGGAAACCACGGATATCCTTCCAGGGAAGTACAGTAGGTGGGCTAACTCATGAAATTTCGGAAAGATTGACTAAGCAGAGATGGAAAACTAATCAGCAAACAGCATAATTCTAAAAACATGTAGTCACCCCAGGATGCCGGCTTTCGAAAGAACTTCTTTTCGGCAGCATGCAAGAGCTATACTCTGTAAAAATGACTGCTTAAGTAGCAAGCATTTTTCTGATTGATTTTCTATGCCCTTGAAAATTCAATTATATTTCATGGAAAACGGGCAAAAAATATTCATTCTTTTGCTCATTCGGTAGAAAATCAAATTTTTTTCCAAATTTATACTTAAAAAGGGTATAATTTAGTTTTTCAGAAGTTTCTAATTTCGAAATTTTCTAAAACCTTGAAACGACCGTTCATAAAACGTCATGTCTCTGCATTTACCAATGTGGTTTGCAAAGTTAACAACATGGCTCAAATCCACTGCTGAATTTTATGAACCCCATATGGTGTCCACGTAATACCGTAGAGAAATGTATGGCTTTCTGTACACGAAAATATATGGTTTATAGTTTGGAAACCCTGAATCCGAGTCTAACGGCAGGTCAAGTTAAGAATTATTCGGGAATTGGAAAGGTTTTTTGAAAACCGAATTATACCTTTCTTTCGAGTATAACATTGGAAAAAGATGTAAGTTTCTACCGAATGAGTAAAAGAATGAATATTGTTATTTATGTTTTTCATTAAATATAATAGAATTTTTAAGGGCATAGGAAATCGATCAGAAAAATGCATGCTATTTAAGTAGTCATTTTTGCAGAGTATAGCTTTTGCATGCTGCCGGATTGAATTTCGTTCGAAAGCCGGCATCCTGGGGTAACTACATTATTATCGAATTATGCTGCTTTATGATTAGCTCACCAACTCTACTTAATTAATCTTTTTGAGACGAAAACGCATTTCGGAATTACGATCGGCATTTCATGAGTTAACCCACCTACTGTACCTCCTTTGCGTAGCTGGTGAGTGCTGTACCATCTTCCAGTTTCTCATTCTCCTTCAAGAAAAAATTCCCATGATATTTGATGGGTAAAATACCGTTGGGGTTAAGGTAAGGGTTAATCAGGTGTGGTTAGGGGTTAGGGTTAAGGGTTAGGGCTAGGGTTAGGGATTAGACTTAGGGGTTGGACCAACTATATCTCAACCACTCAAAGGAGAACCGCGCATTCCAAATAGCTCTTCCTTTGCATACAACTAATTGACCTCCTAGCCTATGCATTCCCCGGCCACAGCTGTAAATCCCTTATTACAACCGGTCCCGTATTGCAGGTGGCTCGGGTCTGTTTGCTTTACTTGGTATTACTTAACCACACCTGAACGAAATCAACTTTTTAATCGAGATTAGTAAACATTTCGGTCACATTCCACGTTTATCCCCCCCTGACAGCGACCCATCATCTCGCACTTTGACAACTGCATAAACATTTATTTATCTGCTAATCGTTTGTATCGTTTTACTAAAAAACGAACTTTCTTGAAATTTATTATTTGTATCCTTTTTCAATGACGTTACTTATCGCTTCATCCTGATCTAAACTGTAAAACGTTACTCTTGCCCACCCATCACTGTCGTATGTTGGCATTAAAAAGTCGGTCATACAGTCCTTGGCACGGTTCATGGCATGCGCTGAGACCAGTACGCATAGGTCGAGATTAAACTTGTCACTATTAGAGGTCACAATTTTATCACCATTTACATCAGCCATGATGATCGGATGGCGTTTTTGCTGGCAGTTTTTGGATGTTTGCTTCGGCGCAGCACTCATTCCCTCTCTATCTTCCGCTTCCTCCTTCATAATTTTGAGAATGTCACTGGGAGGCTTTGCGCACTTACGTAAGCAGGAGAAATAACAACAACTCCCCAAACCTCCTACTCACCCCATCCAGTCGAAAGTTTTCTCTGTCTGTAGGGCTCCAAATTAGGAAATAGCGCATCCAAACGTCATTTTTGCATGGCAAAGTTGTGTCCTCAGTTATATAATTTTAGAGCAATGTTCTTTCCATTCTATCAAATAAACTGACACTTTCCTCAACTTGACTGACAAGATGAACCTGGCCCAGTCTGGGCTACACTCGCCTACATAGTGCCCACAATTAAGCAAGTGTTGATATTACGGGCAAAAAATCTTTAATAAAAAAATGAATGGTCGAGATGGAGATTTTAGTTTCATTCGGTGTAACTTTGCTGCGAGACTTATAACTTTTTCCATGCGATTAGTTACAGCTCGCCTTGCAATCTACCCAGTGGGCAAATCCCGAAAAATTAGCTCTGATTCGGGCGCAAACTCTGGGTATCGGTTCAATCCTCCATCTTATCTCATTATTAGTCAGTCCTTCTTGGATTATGCGCTGTTGATTATATCAATACTGACTGATTTACAGTATTACCTGCTGAATTGATGCCGCCGAATTTTTTTAATGATTCCGCGCTGCGGTATGACGCACCCAGTGGGTCCTCCAAAGTTCTCAATGGGATTTTAGAATATGATCTGGCTGTTAATATTATATTTTTTATTTTCCTTAGAATTCACTGTGAATGTTGGAGTACTTTCTCCTACCTTAATCTGGAATTCATCAGTTACGCTGGAATGACCGCGTAATACTCACAGTTTTCCAACAGACAGCCCGAAGTATATGAATGTTGGATGCCGTACCTTTTTAAAAATCGAAGGGTTTAGTCCAGACGACTTCTTTTCTATTGAGATAGTCAACCCTATCCTTAGAGTGTGCAAGCTGGGTGAGTAAAGTAGTCGTCGGCTTGTGCGCCACTTTTATCTGGTGTTTCCTCAAGTGTCTTTCAACAAGTCCAGACACATTCCTGATGTAAGGAAGGATTCGCCAAGTGTTTGCTTTGGGCGTTTGATTGGAACTATCTAGTTCCTTTGTTTTTATCTCTTGTTGTTTCATGCATCGACGTACGAAATCTCTAGGGTATCCGTTTTGGGAAACTAATTCAAATAGGTAGTTTAGTTCAACTTTGCAGCTTTCTTCATCAGAGCAATGTGTTTTTGCTCGATATATCAGGCTTTTGACAGTACTCCGCTTGTGAGAGATCGGACTGTTGCTCTCATAGTGTAGAATTATTTCCGCGTATGTTTCTTTGCGGTAAACGGAGGTTTGTAATGTTCCGTCAGTCTTACGCTGTACGAGAACGTCTAGAAATGGGAGTTTATTGTCAACTTCTTTTTCCAACGTGAATTTAATTCCCGGAACGGTTGAATTGATTGTGTTGTGCAGTATTTCTAGTTGATCCGTTTTGACGACGACAAACGTGTCGTCTACATATCGTACCCATAACTTAGGGTTAACTAATGGAAGAGCCACCGATTCCAATTTCTGCATTGTCACCTCGGCAAGAAAGCCAGATATGGGTGGTCTCATTGGAGCACCTTTTAGTTGTTGATAATATTGGTGATCGAACGAAAAAATTGTTTCTAAACAAAGGTCCATAAGTTCAAGTAAGGCAGCTGCAGGAACATCCGTGTCATAGGACTTTAGGAGTTCATCTGTGCATTACCTTGCGAAATCTAGTGGTACGGAAGTGAATAAAGAAACCACATCAAAGGAGACCATTATCTCATCCGCGGAAATTGTGATGTCTTTCAATTTCTCTAGAAACTCCATGGAGTTCTGAATGGAAGTGGCACAATTTCTCGTAAGTGGATGAAGTTGGTGGAATAGCTACTAAAAAATTTTGTAATTGGGTGCACAGATTAATGATACTATCGGTCGCAGTGGTACCTCAGGTTTGTGAACTTTGGGCAATCCGTAGATCTTGGCGATGGTTGGTTCGGATTGTCTCAGAGATTTTGCAATGTCGCCTGGCCATGCACACTCTTGATACTGGGCACACTTTCGCATGGGACAAAACTCGCATCGTCGGAGTTTGCCCATCTAAAAAAGGCCGACAGTTTCTTGAAGCCATGCACTCCGATGAGTCATGCATCAACTGGCATATCGAGTTAGATGCCACGTACAAAAATCTCAGAGAAAAGTGGAAGAGGCGAAAGCCGATCAATGCGGACTGACACATATGACGGCAGCTTACTAGCTGAGGCACCAAATGGGCATTGATTTTGAAGCACGTTTGAAATTTTAATTGTTTTCTGCAAATTTACTCTAGTCTGACGACGCCACGGGGAACTGACGTCGAAAATTTACTCAATAAAGTTTTCTCTCTTTCCCAAAGAACGTACTTGATTTCAAATTATATTTCTTGGGATTCATATATATATATATATGGCAGCGAGGAGGGACGACAAAATTCGGGTAGATTGATACAGTTCTGTTTCGGGCTTATTGTGCCTTCATTCAGCCAATCATTACCTTTACCACCAGCAGCAGGGACCAGAAACACAAACATGCGCACAGACGCACCTGCGCAGTTGATCCACCACCGGAGTCTTGTGGTGAGGTACCTGACTAATTTACCTTTGACAATTTAGTCCCATTTCCTTTGACCGCATTGCTTGTTTGAATGTGACGAGAAACGACACACCTGTACAACCCGCCGTGCTAGCGTGCTCTGCTGTGGTATTCTGTTGTCAGTTTTCTTAACGTTCAAAAACCTCTATATTATTCACTGCTCCGATTTACTTGCTGCATTTAAGGCTAGGGGCTCGTGAGATATAACTCGTTAGTTCGTGAGAACATTACGATTTACGACATTGGTGACTCCCGACATTTACGCAGACTTTATAGCTTTCTGTCATACTGGATAACATTTAACGTACTATTTGCTTGTGAATATCTATTCCATTTACATTTACTTTCCTCACGAATTCTGATATTTTGACATCTCTGTCTTATTATGTCTCACTCCGATCAAAAACTTGATGCCCCCGCCCAGTCCCTTCATGCAATCAATTTTACTTTGCCTGAATTCTGGCAACACGCTCCAGAACTTTACTTCATCCGCATAGAATCAGCCTTTTATTCTGCCAACGTTACCAAGGAGCTAGCAAAATACTCCGCATAGAATCAGCCTTTTATTCTGCCAACGTTACCAAGGAGCTAGCAAAATACCACAAACTCGTGGAGGTCCTCCCCGCTAGTGTCATCTCTCAAGTTCAGTCCTTGCTAGCTAATCCTCCTGCAGATGCTCCCTACTCCGCGTTAAAGGCAGAAATCCCCCGACTTAATTCTGTATCTGACCGACAGAGGTATCACCAGTTAATTAAGGAGGAGTCACTGGGTGACCGGAAGCCCTCAGAGCTTCTACGTCGGATGCGTTGTCTCCTTGGAGACATGCAAGTTGATGATAAATTTGTCAAGGAGATGTTCCTGGAGCGCCTGCCCACAGATGTTCAAACGATCCTGGCGTCCAGCTCTCAGGATCTCACAGTGTCACAGTTGGCTGAGATGGCGGATCGAATGATAGAGGTGCAACGATTCCAGTCACCTTCCGTTGCCCAGATCTCATCCTCATCGTCAGTGAATGAGCATTTACTAAAACAGGTGTCGGCCATGGCAGATGAGATGGCCTCTCTTAAAATACAGCTCGCCCGCCTAACTTCCAGTCGCTCACGCAGTCGTCGTCGTTCTCGTTCGCGACCTCGGACTGCTGATACTTGCTGGTACCACACTAATTTCGGCGTAAAGGCCCGTCGCTGTTCCTCACCTTGCTCTTTTAAGCCAAAACAGGGAAACCAGTCAGCCAGAGAATAGATGCGACCGTTTTCTCTGGCTCCTCCGGCTCTGGTCGCACCTTCTATGTTTGCGACACTGCGACTCGCAGACGTTTTCTGGTGGACACTGGAGCTCAAATCAGTGTTGTTCCCCCAACTGCAGCTGATCGCCGTTTCCCTAGTCCTGGTCTTCATCTTCAAGCTGCTAACTGTTCCCCAATTCCCACTTTTGGCAGTCTGTCCCTCACCCTGAACATTNCGTGACTTTCCTCCACCAACCTCCAAGCGTCAGCTGCAACGTTTCCTTGGCATGGTAAACTTTTATCGCCGGTTCCTACCGAACTGTGCCGACCTTATGCTGCCACTCACCAACTTGCTCTCTGGTCCCAAGGGTCCCTTGAGTTACGTGGCCACGCGCTGACTGCATTTGAGAGACTAAAGACCTCCCTTGCTGATGCTACCTTGCTCACTCATCCTGCTCCAGAAGCCCCATTGTCCCTGATGGTTGATGCTTCAACCGTTGCCGTAGGAGCAGTCCTCCAACAGCATATCAATAACTCGACACGATCGTTGGCATTCTTCTCCAAGAAGCTTTCACCTGCCGAGACGAGATATAGCACGTTTGGCCGTGAACTTCTTGCCATTTACCTAGCCGTAAAACTTTTTCGACACTTCCTTGAGGGTCGTGACTTCACCATTTTCACAGACCACAAACCACTTACATTTGCCATCCGATCCCATTCTGACAAATATAGCCCGAGAGAGATTTCTCATTTGGATTACATCTCGCAATTCACCACCGACATCCGCCGCATTGATGGCCCGAAGAATGAGGTGGCTGATATGCTGTCCAGACCCTCACTGTCTTCCCTCCAACTCTCACACGGGATCGATCTTTGTGCCATGGCGGCTGAGCAGCAGCGAGTCGGTTGTCCTGGCGACGAGTCTGTTAGTGGTCTTCAACTCAAAGACGTTCCTCTGACCACCGGCTCTGGTACCATACTTTGTGACGTCTCAACTCCCTTTCATCGCCCTTTTGTGCCCGCCTCGATGCGCCGAGCTGTATTTCAAACTCTACATGAACTCTCCCACCCTGGGATCCGAGCCTCTCAAAAGCTCCTCGCGGAAAGGTTTGTCTGGCCTGGCATGAACAAGGACGTCAAAGCTTGGGCCCGGTCGTGTCTGAGCTGCCAGCGCAACAAGGTGCAGCGTCACAACAAGTCCCCACCAGGCACTTTCCCCAGTCCCGACGCACGGTTCAGCCATGTGCACCTGGATGTCGTAGGCCCCTTGCCTCCATCCAATGGTTTCACCTACCTCCTTACCTGTGTCGATCGATATACTCGCTGGGCTGAAGCTATTCCTTTGCCGAATGTTCAGGCTGAAACCATCGTGAAGGCCTTCGTCAGTCGTTGGGTCGCCATGTTCGGTGCCCCATCCACGGTTACGACTGATCGTGGTGCCCAGTTTGAGTCGGCACTCTTCTAAACGCTACTCGATTTTCTTGGCTGCACACGCATTCGGACGACAGCCTACCACCCAGCTGCCAACGGTATGGTGGAACGTTTCCATCGCCAGCTAAAGACCGCCCTGCGTGCCGTAGCAGACCCAGGAAACTGGTCGGACAACCTTCCTCTTGCACTCCTCGGCATCCGCGCAGCTCTGAAGTCGGATCTGGGCTGTAGCGCAGCCGAATTGGTTTTCGGCACTACCCTCCGACTGCCAGGCGAGATGATCACCCCAACCTCTCGTGGAGCCGACGAGACTCCTGACAATCTTATGCACCGTTTGCGGCAATTCATGCGCTCGCTTTCCCCGGTTCCACCTCGAACTCCTATGACTGAGTCTTATGTCGAAAAAGACTTGGACAAATGTACTCATGTGTTCGTCCGGTGTGACCGTGTGCGCCAGCCGCTGGAATCACCATATGAAGGACCGTTCCGCGTGCTCGCGCGCAACACCAAGACCTTCCGAATTCTTCGCAATGACAAGGAGGACGTGGTCAGTGTCGATCGGGTCAAGGCTGCTGTTGCGGAGGAGCCGCCGGACCTGTCACAAGGACAAACATGTGCTGACCCCCTAACCCCTGTTCCTCCATCTTCCCTATCCCCTACTCGTTCACCCTGCCCACTGCCTTGCCCTTCCCCTCCCTTGCCCTCTACCCCTCCGTCCCGCATACTTCCTCTCCCTACATGTCAACAGCATCCAACTGCAACACCATCGTCCACCACAGCACGCAGTCAACCCTCTTCGACTGTACCTCCTGCATACATAACTCGCAGTGGCCGTCACGTTCATTTTCCTGATCGTTTAGTTACCCATTTTTTCTAGACTTGTGCATATCCTCCGGCGCCGTATCCCGTCGCCCTCCGGTCTAGAAGGGGGGTACTGTGGTGAGGTACCTGACTAATTTACCTTTGACAATTTAGTCCCATTTCCTTTGACCGCATTGCTTGTTTGAATGTGACGAGAAACGACACACCTGTACAACCCGCCGTGCTAGCGTGCTCTGCTGTGGTATTATGTTGTCAGTTTTCTTAACGTTCAAAAACCTCTATATTATTCACTGCTCTGATTTACTTGTTGCATTTAAGGCTAGGGGCTCGTGAGATATAACTCGTTAGTTCGTGAGAACATTACGATTTACGACAGTCTACCAGATGGGTCATAAGCACTTCATCGAACCGAAGTTCATCAGTGCCTCGCCACCTGTCATTCTCTGTCGCTGCAGATCGGGTATTTATCAATCAGGAATGGGCGCACACCGATCTATTGGCTTCACGAAGCAAACAAGCTCCGTATGGGTGGCAAAGGTCACGAACAGGCAACCAATTACCAGGCCGAAGTCAGACAAGTCATAATAGCAGCGAGGAAGACCAATAAGCCCGAAACAGTACTGTATCAATCCAGCACATATATACATATATATGCTTAAACGTATGTTTAAAACTACTAATTTCGGAAATTGTTGGTGGTTAGACGTGGACACAAGTGTCCGGGGGGTCCTTTTTTCATACCCGAAACGACACCTGTGTACAGAGTAGGGTATCAATATCTGTCAACTATATGAATATGTGTATTTTGCACTTAAGACGGACCAGACAGAAGATGCGCTAGATCAACGCAAAGGTAAGATTGGAGTCCAGCAGGCGTTATCAGGAATGCGCACCTATAGCTTAAGCCAACAATGGGCTATGTTGACACGCCCCGTGCGTTGGGCTGCCATCCCTATTTTTCCTGGTGCATACAATCCAGGTCATTTCAATACGCATAAAATCTGCTAGGGTGAGCATTCCGCACAACCCAAAACATAACCCTGGTTAGGTAAAACAAGCAACTATGCAGGCTAAAGCCGCTGGAAAAAACAGCACAAAATGAATATACCGACGATAATACAATAGTGAATAACATTTTATCACTGCCATATCTAACTGACTACAGCCCAAACCGACCGTTTTCCTGTACGGTCTGTTTACGGACACATATCACTTCTGCTATATATTAATTAACTAACGTCACCAGGAGGGCTCCGGTAGCTCACAGTCATGAAAATATTTTGAATTTTGAGTTGACTGCCCAATGGATATCCACAATTTCACGAACCTTCACACATTCCCTTACGCCGAACATCAACTCTTCATAACTGTTAAACGTGCCGTTCTAGAGAAGTCGCCTAAACTGAGCACGCAGAACCTGTACTTGCTCTTTTTCTAAAACATACACGTAAGGGAGTAATAAGTGAACTAACTTTTTTAGAACCACGACTTACCCTATGAAAGTTCGTAATATATTTTTCTTGAAAATTCCCGTTCTCTCGACCTTTTCCGTTGGCTAGAGTCATGGTCGTGGTTCACTGTAAAGGATGTTATCGCGATTCCATTTCCTTTTCTATAAACCACATTTAAAAAAACAGGTAGACGCTTCTTGCCTTGTGATAATAAGCGACTGCCTAAAAAGCACTTATCTAGATAGTTCTTACCTGACTAAGTTTATTAATGGCGTCTCTCGTTGACCGGAACTATCACCCAAACACAATTTTGCGGATCCTAAACTCAACAAGAGACGTAGAAGCTATCGCAACTCACGTTAAAGTGTCCAACCAATCGTCCACTCGTCTTCGCAAAATGGGCCACTTACCGAATCGCCGATTTTTAAACCAGGGAGTGTGGGGCGGTACGCCCAGGTGCGAGTTTCTGCCATACCAGCCACCAGCACCCTCTCTCGCCTGCGGTTTTCTTGACTCTGCCTTGACAGCGGATTTATTCGGAAGGTGAAGGGAACGCAGTAGGCGCTAAGAAAGTCTACGCTCGCTATAAAATAATCCACGCGAAAGTCGCCGCCCTTACTCTTACACTGCGGTGGAGCCCGCGATGGACATTGTCGGCCCCGATAGTCGATCTGTCAGATTACACGGTAGGCATCTGTCTATCTGTCTGTCAGTACCCCTAAACACTCAGGTGCCATAATCCCAACCCTTACTTTTTATTTAGTCTGACGGCGGGTTGGAAAAATCTAGCCGCAAATTCACAAGAACTAAAAGTAATGTCTTTTCTGTGTTCTTAATCTAAATGCTATTTATTAAATGTCTTTGTCTGCTTCATCTGAACCATGTTTATTTAGAACTTCATATAACTTTTTCCACTTAGGTTTTGCCAAACAAAATTGGACATAGGAAATCGAAGACGTTAATGAATGGAAGAGAATATACGCATCCCAGGTTCTTGTTTAAAAGATGACGAAGGCACGATCACTGGGACGGTATATTTACTAATCTTAGCCTTCGAACTCGAACAGTAGTTCATCATCAGAGACTGTTAAAGTGCAGCATCGTGTGAAAATTTATACCGTTGTGCCGTGAGGGGTGAGATAACGTCCGTGGCTAGGTTTCGTTTGTGCTGCCTGACCCACAATGGTCCCCCGACGTGGTGACGGTGGTTGTACTTCGCGGCGATGTGAGCTGTGCCACCTGGCTGCGTGGGCGGAGTGCGTGATAACACGCAGCAAATCAATGTGTCTATCGATAGAGTTCGTGTTCGACATCCACGCCTCCAACATTTCTCACCCCGACTTGTCGCCGGCTGGCGCCAATATCCGCGGGTTGGCGAAGTTGAACTCATTGCCTTCCTCCAGCGTGTGAGTTGCAACTTGAGATAGTGGGTTGCCTCTCCGAACAGCCCGTTTGTGCTCAAGTATTCGTGAGCTGAGACGTCAACCTGTTTGGCCTGTGTAATGGCGAGGACAGTTATGACAATGAATATGATAAATTACGCCGGATTGATCACCCGCGTCCAGCCGATCCTTCATTTTTATGATTCTGCTACGCGTGGTAACCGTCGGATGATGAGCAATGCCCACGCCTAACTCTGAAGCAATGAGTTCTGTGGCCTTGCACACATTCTGTATGTACGGTAGGGAGTGCCAAATTGTTGGTGTCTCTCTTCCGTTTGTCCGTCGTGGGTGCGTGCGTATGCAGCGACTGATAAAACTATTTGCGTAAGCGTTCTTTGTTAATTGGTCCCGGAGGTGGCGTAGTTCTTGCATCCTTCCCTCGGGCTAGCTACAGTGCGTTTTTACCAGGTCGAAAAGCTGCCTCACACAGCCCAGTTTGTGCACCAATGGGTAGTTGCTATGATAGATGAGGACCTGGGTAATATTGGTCGCATTTCTGTACACTGTAGTGCTGAGTGTACCAACAGGTGTGCGCGGGACGAGCACGTGAAGGGAGGGTAATTTCTCGACCTCCTCGTCTTCTCTCGTAAACTGAATATCGGAGAATATGCTGTTAAGCAGGTCTTTAAAACCCGATAGCCTGTCCATTTCAATAACGACGAATGTATCGTCCTCGTATCGGCGCAAAAGGAAGGTTTGTAGTGGCTGAAAGCAACCTTATCCAGCTCTTGTAAGACCAATTCCGCAAATAGGCTGGATATTGGGGAACCCATGAGTGTTCCTTTGATTCGTTCGTATGTTCTGCCACCGAAAGTGAAAAGGTTCGTTGGCAGAATGCAAAGAGCTGCATTAGGTGCTGGATGTTTAGAGGCCCTATCGTTTCGTCGGGTTATTCTTTGAGGCGTTTGCGTAGTATGGGACCCGCTAAGTCAAGTGGAATGGACGTAAAAAGTAAGACAACGTCGAGGGATACCATAATCTGGTCGAATCTTTGATGTTGAACTCCTGATCGAGTTCGAAAGCTAAGACCAATAAATTTTACTGTCCCATTGAAGACGTTTATGTTCGTAATTGAAGCTTCTGAGCGGGACAACGTAACAACAAATATCAAACAATGTGTTGCTCATCCATACTATTTAGGCACTCAGAATTGACAGCGTTGATTCGCGAAGTACTGGTGGGGTAAATTTAACTTCTATATTGCTTATCATCCAGTAAGAACAGTCTAGATATATAATCAATTTTTACATAAAATTTTAAGCATAGTCTCGTCAGAAAACACAGGTATTAATAGAAGCGAACAGGCGAGTTCCAGGTAGCAGTTCAGAAGATGAAGATGCGATACTGAAACAAGAAATTGATTGGCCTGACGTTTCGGATTCTCAATCGAATCCATCATCAGAGACATTCGCAGATAAAGGTGATGATGGCACAAGGCATGCAGTATTTATAGCACGTGGCTGCCGTGGGACCGTATGCGCACTACAAATAACAGTTCTCGCAATCACCGCTGGGGTCGTAGTCGATGCCGTGGTGGCTTGTCAGTCCGAGTCAGAGTCGTTAATGGCCGGGATTTCGTCATCCGTGCTGGATGCTGGTGTGACGATCGCTCGGCAAATTGGCTCACTGTCACCGTGATGATTGCTCGCCCACGCCCATCCCACGTGACTGATTCTCCTGTCCAGGGAAAATCGCAGCACGGAATATGGTACCGGGAGGTCATTGTGCTTGTTGATGGATTGCGGGCCTGAGAACCATGACTCGAGCAGCTCGCGGCTCACGCGGTTGTCAAAACTTGCGAGGATTTCGGACTACTCCTACTCGAACTACTCCAATGAGAGAAATACGACGAAACGGAGAATCGCCTCCGACACGCCCAAATAATCCAGCTCCTGAAGTTCTGCCTCAAGACGTACTTTACGTTCGTCGACACAATCTACGAACAGGTGAAGGTAACGCCAATGGGTTCGCCGATTTCGGGACTCATAGCCGAGGCGGTACTAAAACGGCTGAAGGCGCTGGTTTTCCGACACGACAGACCGAAATTCTGGGCTCGGTATGTGGATGACACTGTCGTCGTCATCGAACGGGATCAGGTGCTGACATTCAAAGAACATCTCAACGCCGTCTTCCCGGACATTCAATTCACGCTGGAGTGGAAGGAAAACAACCAGCTGGCCTTCTTGGATGTCCTCGTCTGTCGCAAAGATCGTGGTGGTCTAAAAACCAAAGTGTTCAGGAAAGCGAAACATACGACGCGAATACTGAACTTCAATTGCAACCACCCGATCAGTCACAAACGCAGTTGCGTAAAGGCAATATACCGGCGCATTGTGACGCACTGCAGTGAAATGGAAGACAAGGTTGCTGAATTGCAATAACTTCGACGGATAATGAGAGCCAATGGTTACCCGCGCAACTTTGTCAACCAGTGCATGCGAAAACGATACCAAAGACCAACTCCAACCGGCCCCAAATTTTGGCGGGCTCTTCCGTACGTGAAGAACGTCTCGGAAGCCGTCATTCGTCTTCTCACTCCACTTGGAGTTGGGGTTGCACGCAGGCCGGAAGCAACCGTTAGGCGCCAAGTCATGAGACCTAAAGACCCGCTGCCACGGCAGGAAACGTCTGGAGTCGTTTACCGGTTCTGGTATAGTTGCGGACAAAGCAACTATGTCGGAGAAACTGGGAGATTACACCGTACGCGAATTGCCGAGCACGCAGCAGAAGTGAGGCGGGAGACGTTAGCTCTCAGGTGGCGGCACACTCGACGGAACCCGGCCATATCTTCAAATTTCAAGAGGACGAAATCCTCGCAAGTTTTGACAACCGCGTGAGCCGCGAGCTGCTCGAGTCATGGTTCTCAGGCCCGCAATCCATCAACAAGCACAATGACCTCCCGGTACCATATTCCGTGCTGCGATTTTCCCTGGACAGGAGAATCAGTCACGTGGGATGGGCGTGGGCGAGCAATCATCACGGTGACAGTGAGCCAATTTGCCGAGCGATCGTCACACCAGCATCCAGCACGGATGACAAAATCACGGCCATTAACGACTCGGACTCGGACTGACAAGCCATCACCGCATCGACTACGACCCCAGCGGTGATTGCGAGAACTGTTAATTGCAGTGCGCATACGGTCCCACGGCAGCCACGTGCTATGAATACTGCACGCCTTGTGTCACCATCACCTTTATCTGCGAATGTCTCTGATGATGGATTCGATTGAGAATCCGACACGTCAGGCCAATAAATTTCTTGTTCCAGTGATCAAATAGGTCTTATCAGAAAGACTAAATTTCTTATGGTTAACTGTTTAGGCACACCTTTAACAGATGGAGAAGGTCAGGAGACATGCGGTTCGGATGCCATGCCAGATTTCCATCGAAAAATTTCTAGCGTTCCATAATCCCTGGCTTTTTACTAAGTCCGCAGGAGAGGAAGTCAGTTCCTTACGGAATTTTCATTGGGCAGGTGGTGAGAAGCGAATTCTCTTACGTTAACAACAATCGTAAACATCTGTGGCCTGCCACACAGGTCAGAGAGAGTCTAGCTACATGTCTGATGGAGTATGGTGGGTACGCTTCATTATGAGAAACTGGAAACAGGTCAGACTGTGACAGGAGACCTCTGTTTTCAGCCGTTAGAGCGTCTGAACTAAACGCTTGCAATTAATCATCCAGCTCTAATCAACAGTTGAGGTGTCATTCTGCTCCATGACAGCGCGTGACCCAAAACAGGGTACAGGACTTAGTGTGAAAGCCTTTATCTCACTTAGCCAATCGTGCCGCAGCTAATTATAATTTCTTTGAATCGCCGTAGCAGTTTGTGGTCGGAAAAGCTCTTCGAAATAGCGATGATGTCAAAACTGACCTCTCGGGACTTGTTGCACCAAAAAAAACTCCAGATTATGAAGAGGGTATTGAAAACACACCTTCAAGACGGGAAAATGTGACTAATAATCATGGTGATTACATAACTGATAAATTCATATTGACCCAATTGTGAAAAACTCGGCGCCTCGTGGGATTCGAAACCACGACAGTAAGGGGAAGGCTTTAGTGCAGCCAACGCTCTAACCACTTAAGCTACGAGGCTTCGCCGGACGACGCTAGTCTAATCACAGTTGGGTCAAGTTACCCGCCCAACCTACTGCAACGTCTGGAATCCATCAAATCTGATACAGTAAGTTGAATGCCCAAGCAGGATTTCCTAAGTAATTCACCTAGAATCCACCAGATGACTGTCAGGCTCACGTAATGCATAGATATTTTGTCATATTTTGAATAATTTATATTGACCCAACTGTGAAAATCTCGGCGCCCTATCCAGTAGACACTCTCCTTGGAATTTATCAAAAGTACGACGTTACTTTCCGATACGTAGCTCGACCGGTGAATGCGCCTCCAATACATACATACATATCCCGTTCATCATCCCCAAAAGAAGACGAAGAAGAAAAAGGGGCGATTGCATGGACCACAGTGTATTGGTGCTGACGTTTCGGAAACTTCCTCGTTTTCCTTGATGGAAACGAGGAAGTTTCCGAAACGTCAGCACCAATACACTGTGGTCCATGCAATCGCCCCTTTTTCTTCTTCGTCTTCTTTTGGGGATGATGAACGGGATAATTTATCAGGACCTCGAATTTTTTACTCATGTTGATACATAAATATATATTGAAGAAGATGGTAAGGCGAGCTCTGGGGATGATGATTTATTCATCTGACGTTTCAAACTCATACTCGAGCGCATCATCGGAGATAGGAAATATTAGAAAATTACACGGTTTAAATAGGTCCCTCTCGCTCTCGCCTGATAGGGCCGTCAACTTCTATCCTCATTGGGCCTCCCCTGGTGCGTAGGTGGTGTTTGGCGGCCTCGTATGGTGCCGGTAGTTCGACGCAGCGGTTGATGGAGTTGGTGTCTGTTTTCCAGGCCTCGATTATTTCTCGCGCCAGTCTGTTTTCCGCTCGGCCGAGCACTTGGGCGCCGTCAAAGTCAAACCGGTGGTCATTTTCCAGACTGCGCATGGCGACGTGTGAGCGCGCATCTTTCCGCTTGACGGCTAAGGTGTGCTCATGTATGCGCGTTTTAAGTCGTTTGTTTGTCATGCCGCAATAGTTGGCCTGACAGTCTAGGCAGTTGACGCGGTAAATGACACCGGACATGTCCTCAGGGGGCAGCCTACCCTTTGGCTGCATGACTAATCGGCGGATGGTGGCTTCCGCTCGGTGTCCAACGCCCACGTTAAGTGGTCTAAGCATACGCTCAGTGGCCTCAGAGACGTTCCTCATGTAGGGCAAGACACGGAGTACCTCAGGTTTTTGGTTCGCTTCACCGTCAGTCTTTGTGTGTCTTTGGAACAGACATTTGTTTACGAAGCTACGTGGGTATCCATTGACAAGGAAGAGGTGCCACAGGACGCACGCTCTTGTAGCTTCTCGGCCTCTGTGCTGCAGTGCGTGTTGATGCGGCGGAAAAGTGTCCGGACGCAACTGCGTTTATGCGACAGCGGATGGTTGCTGTCGTAGTGGAGTATTTTCTCTGTGTTTGTAGCTTTTCGGAAAACACCGGTCTGGAGGGTTCCATCTTCCTGCCTCGTTACCCGCACGTCGAGGAAAGAGAGCGTTCCGTCCTTTTCTTCCTCCATTGTGAATTGGATTTGTGGGAAGATGGAGTTTAATTCTCCTCTGAAGGCCTCCTTCGCATCTCGGTGTAGGACGACAAAGGTATCGTCCACATAGCGCATCCAGAATTTTGGCTTGTAGGACCGAAATACACGAGTTTCCAGTTCCTGTAGTACCGCCTCAGCCAGGTAGCCGGAGATCGGGGATCCCATCGGGGTTCCCTGGATTTGCTCATAAGTATGGCCGTTAAAAGTGAAATACGTGCATAAGCAGTAGTCCAGTAATTCCATCGCGTGCTTCCTTTTAAACGGTTTTTCTTCATCGTCGTACTTTCGTTCCAGTAGCTCACTGATGACTCTCATGGCCAAATCCTTAGGGATGGAGGTGAACAAAGAGACGACGTCAAAGGATACCATGATCTCATCGGGGGCTATTTTCACGCCTCGGACTTTTTCTAGGAAGTGCGTTGAGGAGGCGGCTGTGTGTTCGGATCCTTCCGTCAGCTTCTTTAAGTGCTTGGTAAGCCATTTAGCCAGTCCGTAGGTAGGTGTGCCTTTCAGCGCTACGATGGGTCGTAGGGGGACATTTGGCTTGTGGATTTTTGGCAAACCATAGAAACGCGCTGGAGCGGCATCTTGCGGTCTCATTTGTCTCCAATCGTTTTCAGATATCGCCTTTTGGCTCCTCATCTGATTTAAGCCCTTGTTAATTTTGCCTACCAGTGTTTTTATGGGGTCAGAGTCGACTACTCTGTATGACGGGTTGTCGTCTAGTAGTTCCTGGGCTTTTGCGACGTACTCTGATCTGTCCAAGATCACGGTTGCCCGTCCTTTGTCCGCTGGAACAAAGACTATTTCTTCGTCCATCTTTAATTCCCTAATGGCCTTTAATTCGGCCGAGGAGATGGTCCGACGTGGCTTGTGGGATATGATGAGCGACGACACTCGCTGGCGAATGGAGTTCTTGGAGTCTTCTGTGGTATCTGTCTTTGCGAGTGTCGCTTCCAATGCCGCAATAAAATCCAGTGGCTGCGCGTCACCTGTGTTGTATCCAGATTCGTGCTGAAGCACTTTAATCTGGTCGTCTGTCAGCTGTTTGGATGAGAGGTTGTGGACGGACGGTGGTTCTGACATAACTGCATCTGCCTGCTGTAGGGTACGCATCTTGTTCAGGAGTTGGACCCTCTTCTTCCCTCGCTCTACGTTCACCTTTATCGAGATCCAGCTCTCCAGGTTTCGTAGTGTTTGATCCTCCAGGTGTGATGCACATGCTGCTTTCTCCCTTTCGATTTCTCTGCCGTACTTTCCCAGGCGAATGTGACATTCGTTGATGAGGGTTCTTAGTAAGCGTCGGCTGCAGCTCCTGGCGACCTCCCGACCGAAATCGGTCTTAGCTGGTGGTCTCACAGAAACACTCCTCGGCATGATGTCTGACCTTAGGCAGTTGTGTGGAAAGACCAATTGTTCCCGTGTAGCTCCCTGTCTACATGAAAATATTTCCCAATGCATTGGTAGAAGGGCGTTCACCCATCGTGTTAGACAAATCACTCGTCCCATTGTGCCTTAAGGACTCTCTCTCTCGAGCCCAACCAGCAGCCGCACAGCAGCGCACGATATAGGCAGAATGGTATTGGCGACAAAGTCAAGAAGACTGGGATGGCCATTTCTGGCTTATTGGCCGTCGTCAGTCAGTCATACTCAATCCCGAATTGTAGAACGCCCGAGGCTCGAACACGCGACCTGTTAACTAGAAGTCCAACGCCTCTAATCATGTGGCCACGAGCCCGTATTCCTGTCGGTTGCGATTGGGAATATAAAATGATTGACGGACAACGGCCGTAAATGACCATTCCAGTCTCCCTTGTCTTTGTCGATAATACCATTCTTCATATGCATGCATATACAGTAGATGTGCTAACTCATGAAATGTGAACCGAAATTTCGAAATGCGTTCTCGTCTCGAAAAGATAAATTAAGTAGTGTTGTAAAAGTAATCATGATGCAGCATAAATCTATAATGATCCAGTTACCTCAGGGTGTCGGCTTTCGAAAGAACTTATTTTCGGCTGCATGCATGATCTATACTCTGCAAAAAATGACTAATTAAGTAGCATGCAATTTTCTCATTGATTTTCAATGCCCTTGAAAATTTAATTATAATTCATGAAAAACATGCATAAAAATATTCATTCTTTTACTTTTTCGGTAGAAAATAATGTCCTCTTCCAACTTCATACTCAAAAGGAGAGTATAATTCGGTTTTAAAAAACTTTTCTAATTCCCGATTAATTTTGAACCCAACCTGCTGTTACACTTGCATTAGGGTTTCAAAACCACAAGCTGTATATTTTCCGTGTACGGAAAACCATGCATTTCTCCATGGTTTTAGGAGGAGACTATGTGAGGTTCATAATAAGGAGCAGTGGATATGAGCAATATTGTTAACTTTACAAGCCACATTCGTAAATTCAGATACATGACGTTTCATGAACGGCCATTTAACGGTTTAAAAAATTTTGCAATTAGAAACTTTTTAGAAACCAAATTGTACTCTTATTTTGAGTGTGAAATTGGAAGAAGACGTGATTTTCTACCGAATAGTAAAAGAGTGAATATTTCTATGCATGTTTTCCATGAAATATAATTGAATTTTCAAGGGCATCGAAATAATACCATTCTTTATATGCATGCATATATATGTGCGGTAGGAGGCATATCTCTTGCAATGTTATCCAAAATTCTGAGATACCTTTTCGGTATGGATTGTAGTACTGATTGTTGTGTAAAATAATCGCTGGATATTTCTCTGCCCCTAAGATACCGATATGCAGATGAATTTTTCTTTTTGATCGCCTGCAAAAGCCACTGCGTAAAAATGACAACATAAATATTACGAATCTTTTAGTCGACTTTTGATGTCCTTATAATTCCGGACATGTCTTATAGCTAGCGTATGCAATTAATATCCTTTTTGTGTGCCTACGATAACAAATTGCGTCTTTAGTAGACAGTATAATCGGAATGGATATTTCTCAGTTTTATTAACCTTTTTCGATTTCGAACACTTGCACTTGGGGTTCCTAAACTATAAACTGTTTACTTTCCATGAGAGGAGGATTGTGCTTTACTCCATTTCAGTAGAAAGTATTCTATAATGCTCATAAGATTTCCCTAGTTCCTGTTGCATACGTCATGTTGAACATCAGTAGACAGAAAGATGACATGTAATCCGCAAATTCTTCTCATGGATATAACAGTTTTATAACTATGGAATTTTACACTTATATTACTGTTTCTTTGTGTTTAAAATTTTAAAAAGATGTAACTTATGAAGACATGCTTGGGAAAAAGAGCGTTTTGCATGACTTTTAAGAAATATGTCTAGATTTTAAAGGATGTCGAAATGAACGATTTTCCTAGTAATTTTGATTAAGCCGGATGGAGAGGCGTTCATAAATCGGCATGCTGAATTGAATGATAGGTCTTAGAACTACTCCACAAGATAACAAATATTTAAACCTAATCAAAGTTATACATTCTAACCAAAACACCTTTCAAAATTCAGGTTAACATCGCATAAGATATGCCACCTACTTACCATCTCATTTATCTCTACTACTAATAGTCGCTGTGCGACTGCCTGCGAGGGTTCTAACAGGAACCGAAAGTCACAACGGAACGAGCACGTTTCTCAACCTGATGGGTGGGCGCCCATCTGTCATAACTGATATTCCCGATCACAACCGGCAAAGACAACGGGCCGGTGGCTCAATGGTAGAATGTTGAACTCCATGGCCAAACATCTCGGGTTCGAATCCCAAGGGATCTACATTGATGTTTGGGTATGACGGACTGTCGGTAAGATCTCATTTATATGTATATACGAATAACGGAGGTAGTATGCATTCCGAGGCGATATAATAAAAGGAGAAAGGTCGTCGGAAAATCGGGGTATACTCGTAAATTTTCAAGTCGGTTACACCAACCCATCGTCAGACGAAATGAAAATTTCGAGGGCGATAATCGCATTAGGGAGCTGGGAGGACATCGAGGTTACATCGACGAAACAGACGTTTATGTGTGGGGGTGAAGAAAGTGTTTGAATAGGTGACGGACGTTAGGAGAGGTGTTGAGCGTTTCACACATGATTCACTCTGAAGGTTTGCGTTCATGGTTCGCCGGCTTGCGCCCACCCTAAGACACCAGCTGCTAATCCGTGTTCGTCCGTGTAGAATATCACGGATTCAACACCTCCTCCACAGAGTGAACCATGTGTGAAACCCTCAACACCTCCCCTACCGTCCGTCACCTATCCAACCACGTTCTTCACTCCCCCACACATAGACGTCTGTTTCGTCGATGTAGCCTCGGTGTCTCCCCAGCTCCCTAATGCGAATATCTCCCTCAAAATTTTTTATTTCGTCTGATGACGTGTTGGTGTAACTGACTTGAAAATTAACGAGCATGCCTCGATTTTCCGAAGAGCCTTCACATTTATTATATATATGTTGAAAAAAAGTAAGGTTCTTTGGGAAGGGAATTAAATTTAGTGAGTAGATTTTCGAGTCTGGTTCCCCAGCTCGTCGTCAGACTTTTGGGCTATGTACAAAAACAGTTAACTATTTAACCGTGTCGAGCAAGTGATTCTATGTTTTGCCGAAGCCTGCGTCAATGCGCGTCAATGGTTTTTCGTCATCCCCTCGGCATTGGCTGCGCTCGCTTCCATTTGTCCTTGAGAAATTCGTATGTGGCATCTAAATCGATATGTCGATTGATGCATGCCTCATCTGAGTGCATTGCCTCCAGGAATTCGCAGCCTTTCCTTATTGGGCAGGCGCCAACAATGCGGGTGTTCTCCCATGCAAATTTGTGCTCAGTGTCCAGTGTGTGCATAGCCACCTGTGATAGATGATTTCGTCTCTTCACCGCTAACTGATGCTCATGTATGCGGGTAGAGACAAATTTTCCAGTTTGGCCACAATAGACGGCATCACAAACAGAACATGGTATTTTGTAGACAACACCTTTTCTATCAAGATAGCTAACCCTGTCCCTAGGGTGTACAAGCTGTGTTCGCAAGGTAGTTGCAGGTTGGTGTGCTACTTGTATCTTATGCATATTCAGCTGTCTTTCGACGAGTTCAGATACATTTTTTACGTATGGGAGGCTCCGCCAGGTGAATGTTTTTGGTGCCTGGGTGGCCGCTTTTTCGAAATACCTTTCTGTTTAAACTCATATTACATGCAATGACGCACAAAGTCGCACGAGTATCGGTTGTGGGAAAATAATTTGATAAGGTATTTCACTTCTGCTTGATAACTTTATTCATCAGAGCAGTGCGTTTTAGCTCGGTTTAGTAGGCTGTATATATATACACATATATATATGTATATATTGCAATTTCGGTTCTGACCCTAAAAAGTCATGTCCCGGAGATTTAACTCCAAGTCCTGCATTGATTAATTTCTGAAATTATTCACCTGATTATTCTCTGGAGTTCATATACCAGAAACCGCTAGAGAACGCTGGGGGTCCCACTGAAGAGCCGAACCCCTCGCAGCTGTGTCACGCAGCGGCAGAATATCGGCGAAACACGTGTCTGGGCTTTTAGCAAGTATCTATGTCGGGAGTACGGTATAATACCTTTACCATATATATATATATATATATATATATATATGAGAAGATAAGGCGATCGCAGGAACCATAGGTATATTTGCCTGACGTTTCGAAAGCAAACAAGCTTCCATCATCGGAGGTGGTTTGCGTACTGCACGTCACAGTATTTATGGGTTTTTGTTCTTCGTGCTGGCGTGTCACTGACTGCCAGCGCGCTGCATCTCAAGGCTTGGCGATTTGTTGTCATGGCGGCAACGGTTCCTCCTCATTTTTTGTCGGGTGTGAGAAGGGGAGCGGCATCAGGGCGACCGCGGCCATTGCTCTTGTTTGCATTGTCCGTTGTCTGCCCTCCGTGCATCTCGCCTTCCTGCCCTGTTCGCACAAGCCCGTACGCGTGTGGACGGTGGTTACCATGCTAGTGTTGACGTCGGGCTGGGGGGTTCTGTCACTGTCTGGCGCTTTCCCCAGCGGCTGGCGTCTGTCTGTGTTCGGACCCAGAAGGCGGTCTCCTAGGTTTGTGTTCGTTGCCGGTTGTCCCCTGGTTTCGTCGGTTCCCGATTCCTGCCTATGCCCGTCTGTGTTCCCGCTGGGTTTGGGTTCGACTGCTGCCGTCTCTGGCCTGAGACGGCA